ACCTCCCTGCTGCTGTGCCTGTCTCCACTGCCTGAGCCCGTGGGCCAGTCACACAGGTATAAGTTTTTGTCTCAGAGCAGCCAGATATGGATCCCTTCTTTCCACAAGTGGCCGGAATCCCAGTCTCCCTAGGAACTCTGCCTGTATTAACTTTCCAACTTGGTACTCATGCGAGTCTCATGAAAGCACCATGAAATGTAGGTTTGTGTTCCCAGAGCTGATCTCCGGTGCTAGGTATTCAGCAGTCCCAGGCTTCCACCCCGTCCCTGCTCAGTTTTTCTTCCTCCCACCAGTGTGCTGAGGTGGGGGAAGGACTCGGGTCCCGCTGGGCCACAGCTTTGGTACGTTACCCCATTCGGTGAGGTCTGCTCTTTTCTCCAGGTGTTTGCAGTCTGGCGCCATCCCCTTTCCTGTTGCTGTCTCAGGATTAGTTGCACCAACTATATTTTCTAATTGTATCCAGTTTTAGAAGGAAGCCTGTGTCTCTCCTCTCATGCTGCCATCTTTCTGCATGTCTTATTTGGCGTATTGAAGGGGTGGTGTTTCCCCATCCCATCCCACACCTTGGGGTAGGAAGTGGAAGAGTCACTTCCAAAGTAACATGATAGTTTGTTTTGTGTGGAATATTATTCCTGGTAAAGGAGAAGAAACACAGACCAGGAAAAAGGCAGGTCAGATGAGAGAGAGATCTACAAGCCATGCGAAGGGCCTGGACTTTGCTCCTAAAGCACTTTATGGAGAGAGTAAGAATGCAGAGTACAGAGAATGCTCAGGAATGAATGGCCTCAATAAGGGGTTCCCTTATTGGGGTTCCAGTTGCCTCAAATGACATCTGAACATCTGTTGTAGGTCTGGGGGAGGAGGCTTGGTAAGAAACTCAGGTGGATAATTCCTGGGGTCTGGTTAATGAAAGTAGGAGGTGGTTATGGTGACCTCTAGCATCTGAGGGGGTGGATCAAGTCAGAGTCCAAAAGGTTTGGGTAAGGGTGAGTGTACTTTGCGATGTATTATGCAAGGAAGATTCTAGGGGAGGGGTGGACATCAGGACAATATTGACTGACAGTAACAGATAATTGAGTGTCACGAGCTCTGGATGTATCTAGGCAGCTGACAGGGTTTTGGAAGGCCTAATAAATTGGGGTGGAGAAGGCTCTGTTTGCTGGAATAAGATCACACTAGAGACAGGCGGGGAGGGCAGAGGGTGGGAAGCTATGCTCAGGGACCTGCAGGCGTGAGGGGAGGGGAGCAAGTGAAGGGCCCGTGGGACAGCTGCACTGAAGAGTCGAAGAAGAGGAAGAGGTGGTTGTGCTACGGAGAGAAGCACGGAAGGCCACTGAGGAGTGTGTAGTCCTGGGAGAGGGGCCCCTGGCCCTGAGGAGACACACCCTGGGGGCCAGTGTAGCAGAGCAGGGAGAGGGGGCCAGGCTGGGGACGAGGTCAGGAGCAGTGGGGCCCGATCCTGCCAGGGACACTCCGGGGGGCTGCTCACCAGTCTCACCTTGGGGTCTCACGATAGGCAGCAGCTCCTGGCAGACATCTTGGGTACCAAAAAAGTTGGTTTTCATTGTCATTTCTGCTTGAAAATGTAAGCTTGTGCGATCATCTGTTCTTCCAGGAACAAGAGAACAGAGTTACTAAGTAGTAGCCATGTGGGATATTTCTGCAGAAAGATAGACTATTTTTGTGCATGTGAAATGTGGACAATTGTACACAAGGTCTTAATTCTGATTAACAGTGTTGTGTCAAGATCAATTTCCTGGCTCTTTAAAGCTACACAGTGTGTAAGTTGGCACCTTTAGAGAAGGCTATGAGAAGTGTGCAGGATGGGATCTGTGTGTGTCATTCTTTTCAATTTCTTGTTTATTTTAAATAAGTGAAAAATTTACCAAACTGCTCCCTAGTCCCATTAACACAAACTACAGACAATTGGAGGAAGCCCTAAGAGTCCACTTCATGATCATACAAAGACCCTGTTTCAGAAAGCCTTGGAAATCTTGTAGGATTCGAATTTCCCTGACGTCCGAAGGGTGACGTCTTTCCCTAGGGAGCCTGTCTGGATCCTGCAGGATGTACAGGCCCCACTGCAGTGGCTCAGGAGAATCCCTAGCCCACCCTGGCTGGACACCCTCACCAAGGGGTCCCTTCCCAGCACCCAGCACCTTCCTTACCCTTGAAGGTGATGCTCACGTTGTTGACCAGCACGTCGAGGCACCCGTACTCCTTGAGCGGGAAGTCCCCCAGGGCCTGGATGCTCTGCCGGTTGCAGATGTCCAGCAGGTGGAAGCGCGGGCTCAGGCCCTCCACCTGCAGCTGCTGCACAGCCGCATAACCCTGTGCTGTGTCCCATACCGTGAGCACCACGTCCCCAGAAAACTCCAAACTCCTGGCACAGGCTGCACACGGTGTCCAAGCCAATGACCCTGTTGGCCCCAGTGACCAGCGCCACTCGGCTGTAGGATGTCATGGCTGGGCGGTGTGGGGGTGATGGCGGCCTGCTAGCCGAGGACGTGGAGGCTGCAGAGGCCTGGCACAGTCCAGAGAACCTGCTCTATAAGGGCTTCTGGGAACCAGCGCTGTGTTTTCTAGAGAGGGAAGCCCCGCCTGTGACCCTCCCTCCAGGAGGAGCCAAGTATCCCGGAAGGATTCGTCCTGCCCCCTCCCTCGGTCGGCCTCTCCAGGTGAGGCCCCCTGGGCCCAGCAGGACACAGCACTCACGTGATCCCACTTCAGAGCCAGTAACACATTCTGGGTGAAGAGGTGCGCTTCCCCAAAGCAGCACAGGTTGGCGAGGGCTCAGTAGGAGGGTGAGAGTCAGGGCAGGGGAGGGACACTGCTTTGGGAGGACCCCTGGAGAGCGGGAGCAGAGTGATGGCTGGGTCGGGCCCATCCCCCTGCAGAGTAGGTTTGCTTGCTCTTCCCCAAGAGGCAGTGAGGTGACTTGGGCCCGGGAAGCGGTTCTGAGGACAGTGAGCTCCGGGCTTCCTTAGGCAGAGAGAAACTCAGGAGACAGAGTTAGGGACAGTGGGTCCTGTGATGGGACGTGTGCTGTAGGCGGGCTGGTCCCCAGTTTGAGCCCAGGTGCCCCCAGGTGGCAGGGAATGTGTATGCGCTCTCCCTGGGTACCCAGCGGTTGATTGGAATGTGTCATTTCATGGTTACATAATCCGTAGGTTTGGTAAATATCCAGCCTTTCCGTTTTGTTGCAGGTGCAATTTAATAAGTGTTACGTGTAGTTAGGTGGTAGTTTTAATGAATTAAGGGGAATAAACCATTTTTGTGGTTTGAGAATACGCTTGCAAGCTAGCAGTTGAGGTGATCAGGTATTGATCTAGACAAAAATATTCCTCCCATGGCAATTAAGAAAAATAAATTCAGGGTAAATAACTTCACCAACCTGTGCAGGTAGCACTGGTAATGTACCCTCTCCTTTACAATAAGGCCTTGCTCTTATTTTTTGGGGACCATCACTTTTCATTCCCATAAGCCTGACATTCACTGGTGAAGAGTGAAAATAATCCTGAGAGCAGAGGCGTCTTTTAGTCTTTTTTTGGGTGCTTGTGTGGAGGGCAGTGGGGTGCCCTCCACGAGGCCCAGAGGGGCCGGATTTGGTGGGGAGCAGGGAGCAGCTCCCTGTCACTGCCCTGCTGTGTTAGGGCCACGCCCAGGCTCTCACGTGATTGCACGCTTTCCCTTCCCGTGTACTTCCAACGTTTGTATCTGTGTCCCTGCACTTAATCTTCACTGCACTCCTACGACCATCCTGCCCATTTTCCTGTGTCCTTTTTTGTTGAAATATAGTTTGATAAATGATATTGGTTTCAAAAGTACAACATAGTTATCCAACTATAATCCATGTTACTAAATGCTCAACCAACTAGTGTAGTTACTATCTGAGAACATAGAAGGATGTTACAGAACTATTGACTGTATTCTCTGTGCTATGTTTTCTTTCATTCTCATGACTAACCTAAATATGATTTGGATTTTTTACCTCTTTATCCCCTTCATCTATTTCACCCACTTACCTCAGTCTCTCCCAAATGGTAACCACCTGTCACTTCTCAGTGTCTCTAAGTCTTTTTTCTGTTTTTTTCATTTGTTTCATTCTGTTCATCTTTTCCCATGTATGTAAAATCATAGGTTATTTATGTTTCTCAGAAGGCTTATATAACTTAGCACAATACTGTCTAGGTCCACCCATGTAGTTTCAGATGGCAAGAATTCCTTCTTTTTATTGCTGAGTAATATTCCATTGTGTCTGTGCACCACCACTTCTTTATCCATTACCTGCTGCTGGGCACTTTGGTTCCTTCCGTATCTGAGCTACTGTGAATAATACAGCATGAAATATAGGGGTGCACACATCTTTTCAAGTCAGGGAGTTAGTTTTTTCCTGGTATATTCCTAGAACTGCAATTGCAGGGTCTTTGGTGTTTCTAATTGTAGTTTTTGGATGAACCTCTGAACTGCTTCCTATAGAGCTGGACCCATTTACACTCCCACCAACGTGTAGGGGGGTTCCCTTATCTCCACATCCTCGCCAACACATGTTATTTCTTGGCTTTTGGATAGCGGCCATTCTGACTCATGTGAGATGATACTCACTGTGGTTTTGATTTGTATTTCCCTGGTGATTAGTGATATGGAACACATTTTTATGTGCCTGTTGGCTATCTGTATGTATTCTTTGGAAAAGTGTCTATTCAGGTTCTCTGCCAATTTTCTGTATTGGGTTATTTGGTTTTTATGGTGTTGAATCATATCAGTTCATTATTTATTTTGTATATTAGTCCCTTATCAGATATATAATTTGAGCATTTATACTCTCATATAGTAGGTGCCTTTTTGTTTTGTTCATGGTTTCCTTTGCTCCACAGAAGCCATACAGCTTGATGTAGTCCCAGTTGTTTAATTTTCCTTTAGTTTCCCTTACCCAGGGAAATGTATCAGAAAATCTTTTCTCCTTCTCATGTTTAAGAGGTGTCTGCCTGTGGTTTATAGTAAGAGTGTTCTGATTTTGCATCTTATATTTAGGTCTTTAATCCATTTTGAGTTGACTTTCATGTATGGTGTTAGACAGTGGTCCAGTTTCTTTCTCATGCGTAGAGTTCTCCAGTTTTCCCAGACAATTTATTGAAGAGATGGAGTTTTCCCCATTGTATATTTTTGGTTCCATTCTCATATATTAATTGAATATATATTCTTGGGCTCTCTATTCTGTTCTGTTGATCTATGTGTCTGTTCTTGTGTCCATATCATACTGTTTTAAGCAATGTAGCTTTGTAATATAGCTTGAAATCAGGGACTCTGACAACCCCAGCTTTGTTCTTCTTTCTCTATTTTGCTTTGACCGTTCAGAGCCTTCTGTGTTTCCATATAATTTTTAGGATGATTTACTCTAGTTCATTGAAAACTGCCACTGGTATTTTCGTAGGAATTGTACTGAATCTGTCAATCGCTTTGGGCAGGATGGCCATTTTGACAATATTAATTCTTCCTATCCGTGAGCAAGGGATAGCTTTCCATTTATCTGTGTTGTTTTCACTTTCTTTCATCAGTGTCTTTATTTTTCAGAGTATAGGTCTTTCACCTCCACAGTTAAGTTTTTTCCTAGATATTTTAGTCTTTTTGATGCAATTGCAAATGGAATTGTTCTCTTGATTTCATTCCGCTAGTTCATAATGAATATACAGGAATGAAACCCATTTCTCTATATTATTTTGTATCTTGCAGCTTTACTAAATCCAAGTTCTAATAGTGTTTTGTTTAGAGTTTTCCAGAAACAGAATCATGTCATCCCGATATAGTGACAGTTTTGCTTCCTTCTTACCTGTTTGGATGACTTTTATCTCTTTTTCTTGTGTGGTTGCTATGGCTAGGAACTCCAGTACTTTCCTGAATAGAAGTGGTGACTGTGAGCATCCTTGTTTTGATGCTGATCTTAGAGGAAAAGTTTTCAGTTTTTTGTCATTCAGTATGATGTTAGCTGTGGGTTTGTTTTATGTGGCCTTTAATATATGGAGGGATGTCCCCTCTATACCTACTTTGTTGAGTTTTTATCATGAATGGGTGAGGATTCAAATGCTTTTTCATCAACTATTGAGATGATCATATGGGTTTTATCCTTCCTTTTGTTGATGTGTTGTATCCCATTGATTGGTTTATGAGGCTTATACCATTCTTGCATCCCTGGAATAAATCCTGCTTGTTTGTAATGGGTAATCATTTGTTGTATTTTTGAAATCAGTTTTGTAATATTTTGTTGAGGATTTTTGCATTCAGGTTTGTCAACAATATTGGTCTGGAATTTTCTGTTTTGGATTGCCATTTTCTGTTTTCTGTAGTCGGGTGATGCACACCTCTTAGAATTAGTTTGGAAGTATTCTCTCCTTTATTTTTTGGAATCCTTTAAAAATGATAAGTGTTATCCCATGTTTAAGTATTTGGTGAAATTCACCCATGAAGCCAGCTGATCTTTTTTTCTTGTCCATATTTTGATTACTATTGAATTCATTGCTGGTTATCTGTTCAGATTTACTATTTCTTCCTCCTTTGGTCTTGGAAGACTGTACATTTTGAGGCATTTGTCCATTTCTTCTAAGTTATCCAATTTATTGACATATAATTTTTCATAGAATTCTCTAATGATTCTTTGCATTTCTATGGTTTTGGTTGTGACTATTCTTTTTTTGATTCTGATTTTGTTTATTTGTGTCCTCTCTCCTTTTTATAGCTTTTTGATAAGTCTTTCTATGGATTTGTCTATTTTTTTAGTTAACTTAAAAACCAGTGCTTGGTTTCATTGTTTTTTTCCAATTGTTTTCTTATTCTGTATTTCATTCATTTCTGCACTCATTGTCATTATGTCCCTCCATCTACTAACTTTGGCCTTTTATTGATTTTCTTTTTTCTTGGTCTTTTAATTGTTAGGTAATGTTGTTCATATGGGATTATTCTTTTTTCTAGATGTAGGCCTGTGTAGCTATGTACGTCCCTCTTAGAAACACTTTTTTTGCATTCCACACATTTTTGGTTTTCCTGGGTTTTTGGTCTCCATATATTGTTGGATTTCCTTTTTGAGCTGTTCATTGATCCATTGGGTTTTTAGAATTATATTGTTTAGTCCCAAGGCTTGTGTTTTTCTGTTTTTTTGTTCCAAGTAATTAATTGCACGTTTCATACCATTGTGGTCTCAAAGGATGCTTGATATAATCTCAATTAAAAAACATTAATTGATAGTTTCTTGTGTCCTAATATGTAATCTATTTGGAGAATGTTCCATAGGCACTTGAGAAGAATGTGTATTGTGCTGCTCTGGGATGGAATGTTCCTTATATATGTATTAAGTGTATCTGGGCTAATGTTGTTCAACATCACTGTGTTGAACTTACTTATCTTCTGTCTGGATGATCTATGCAGTGATGTAAGTGTCCTGTTAAAATTCCCTAGCATTATTGTGTTGCTGTCTGTTTCTCTGTTAAGTT